GTGGGCATTTAGGTGGTTTCTAAGTCTTTTTCTATCACAAACAGCGCCTCTTGTATATACCATTTTTTGCTCATGTGTGAACATATCCATAGGGTAAATATCTACGAGCTAAACTGCAGGGGCAAAGGGAATGCTCCTGTTTTATAAGTTTGAACTTATGCCATTTGTGTATTTAAAAGTAAATATTGAGGGGCCTCCCTGGTGGCGCAGTGGTTGGGAGTCCGCCTGCCGATGCAGGGGATACGGGTTCGTGCCCCGGTCCGGGGGGATCCCACATGCCGCGGAGCGGCTGGGCCCGTGAGCCGTGGGCGCTGAGCTTGCGCATCCGGCAACGGGAGGGGCCACGACAGTGAGAGGCCCACATATCGCAAAAAAAAAAAAAAAAAAGTAAATATTGAGAACAATCAGATTTGTTTGAGGAACATTCTAATTTTTCCTCCAGTGTTGATGGCTAGCAGGTTCATATCAGAATAAGCAGCCATTTTATTTCCCTATTTTATTTTGGCTAAACCTTGCATAATTCAAGACTGACTTTTACATAGACTTGAATGTCAGGTTGAGGCAGGGGTTCAGAGCACATAAACCTACATTCATTGTTCCAAACTTTTCCCCTAGAGCTGCCTTTTTTGCTCCCTCATATTTAATGCAGTGCTTGTTCCTAAATAACCAACATAGCACATCCTGGTGATCATTTGGCCTCCTTGATGGTCTATTATGGTTAAGAGCTTGAGCTGTTATGATTAAGAGCAGCTGTGTGATCTTGGGCAAGTTACTCAACCTCTCTGTGCTTTAGTTACCTCCTCACTAAGGTAATAGTAGCATCCACCTCACAGGATGATTATGAAGATTAAATGAGTCAATTCATGTGAAGGGTTTAAACAGTACCTGGCACAGTGTGGTTATCTAATCTGTCTGAAATTGATGATTTTCAGGGAAGATTTTCCATACCAGCATTAGCGTCACCACTTAAAGAACCCTTTAGTGACATTCTCATTGGCTACAGAAAAGAGCTTTTGGGGTAACTCTTTATTTTAATATAATTATAAACTTACAGCAAAGTAGCAAGAATAGTACAAGAGATTCCTGTGTACTCTTCAGCCAGATTTGTCAACTGTTCACTCCTTTTGTCTTATCATTCTCTCTTCTCCACTCCCCGTCTCCATAAGTGCGTCACACACACACACACACACACACACACACACACACACACACACACACACACACACACAGTTTTGTTTTTGTTTTTTGTTTTTTGTTTTACGCTACGCGGGCCTCTCACTGTTGTGGCCTCTCCCGTTGCGGAGCACAGGCTCCGGACGCGCAGGCTCAGCAGCCACGGCTCACAGGCCCAGCCGCTCCGCGGCATGTGGGGTCTTCCCGGAGCGGGTCACGAAGCCGTGTCCCCTGCATCAGCAGGCAGACTCTCAACCACTGCGCCACCAGGGAAGCCCTACGCTGTGTTTTTGAACCATTTGAGAGTTCAGTTGAACATGATGTCCCTTTACCTCGCGGTACTTCAGTGTGTATTTCCTAAGAACGAGAACATTTTGTTTCATAAGCACAGTACAACCATCAAAACCAAGAAATTTAATGAGGATACAGTACTCTTATCTAAACCCCAGTTCATATTCCAATTTCATCAATTGTCCCAATGAAATTCATTATTGCCATTTTTATCCCCGGCTCAGAATCCAATTCCAATCATGTGTTGCATTTAGATGTTATGTCACAGTTTCCTTTTAAACAGTGAATGTTTCCATAACAACACAAAGGTCCAACTTTCTCCCGGAAGGCTTGATGCCTGCAAGTCAGCTGGGTTCCAGCCGGGATGGTCAGCTCACGTGGCGCCATCTTGTGGTAACAGCACAAATAGAATTTATAAATCGTCTCCTTGGGCAGCTGTGAAGTGATTTAACCTAAAATGAAATTAGGTGATATTCATATCATCTCATTTTTTCTTAATAATGTGGGAAACTATGTTTTAAATATTTTTCGGTCTTTCCTGGTGGCGCAGTGGATAAGAATCCGCCTGCCAATGCAGGGGACACGGGTTCAAGCCCTGGCCCGGGAAGATCCCACATGCCCCGGAGAGACTAAGCCCGTGTGCCACAGCTACTGAAGCCCGCACGCCTAGAGCCCGTGCTCCGCACAAGGGAAGCCACCGCAACAAGAAGCCCGCGCACCACAACGAAGAGTAGGCCCCGCTCGCCGCAACTAGAGAAAGCCTGTGCGCAGCGATGAAGACCCAACACAGCCAAAAATAAATAAAATTAAATCTTAAAAAAATTTTTTTTCTCAATTCAAATAATCCACATACCTTAACTTAGCATAAAATGAGATTTTGCTGTATCTCAAATCTGGACTCACGCAGGTAAAGTCCAGTGCTGTGGGTAAAAACGCGGGCTTGGCCTGAGACATCTTTGGGAATGGATCTGGGCGCCACATTCTGGCTAAGTGATATTTTGCAAGAGACTTCCCCTCTCTGGGCCTATGTTTACTTCTGCAAAATAGGCCTTACAGAGACTTCTACCTGCAGGAACATATTCAGGTCATGGATATAGTTACCAGCACTGTGCCTGATATGTGGGAATTCTTCAATAAAGGTTAAGAGATTATTATTATTTGTTCAACTTTTTGTGAGTAGACAAGTTCAGACCTGAAGTAAAATTCACCCCAGTACAGAGGTTTAACTTTCCTAATCAAAACCACATTCAGTCAACAAATATTTATTGATCCCCAAGTCCCAACTGTGTGTTAGGCATTGTTCTAGATGCTGGGAATACAGCCCAAGACAAGTCTTTGCCCTCATGGGCAAATTTATGTTCTGGTTTTGGGGGAAGACAGTTACAAAATTAAAAAAAAAAATTCTTTAGTGTTAAGCGCTAGGTAGAGAATTCAAATATGCTGAAAAGAAGTGACAGTGTGGCTCTTTTGGATTTGGGGTGACCAGGGAAAGCCTCTCTATAGAGATGAGATTTGCACTGAGTTCTGAAAGACAAGAAGGAGTCAGTCATGCAAAGATCAGGATCAGGGGGGTGACCAGTCCAGGCAAAAGGAACAGCAAGTGCAAAGGCACTGAGGTAGGAACAAGCTTGTCTTTTTGGTGGGGCAGAGAAGAGTTTAGTGTGTCTAGGATATGGTGGTCAAGGGTGAGAGTAGCTTGAGATGAAGTTAGTAAGATAGGGGCAGCTCACATAGGTCCCTGAAGACCATGGTGAGGCCTTTAGCTTTTATTTCTTGCGGGATGAGAAGCCATCTACGTGATCAGAGCAGATCGATAAGGTGTTCAGTCTTAAGAGTAGAAAAAGTTTTATCCCAAGGTTTGCACTAAAGCACATTTAGCCTCACCTTACACGTTTTGGAAATCTGCGATGTGTTAAAAAGTTGAATGTGCATGGTGCATGGTATCTTCTATTAGAACTTTTGAACGATAAAACATTTCATAAAAAGGAAATTGGAACCAACATTTACAGAATCCTTTATCTGTACTACTGCCAAACACTTAAAATGACTCTAAAAGGATCTTTCCAACACAGTAGCATCTAGGGTGGGGCTTAGTAACTTCTGGCTGCGGCGTCAAAGATATTATTTCAACATTTCTGTATAGTGTGGGAAACTCTTTTAAATAAAAACTTTTTTTTTAACAGTTCCAGTCTTCTCTGGGAATCTGATCAATGCTATGGACTTTCTCCCTTGAAAATGCTCTGCTTAGGATGAAGAAAGGGGAAATCTGAGTATCCCTGCTTGTACCTCCTGATCACCCACGTAGCAGGGAGGGTCACCCCCCCCCAGAGCCACTGCCAGGGACAGACCCCTCCAGACTTTGTCGGGTGGAGTGGAAGCCTCCCCATCTGGGGCTACCAGGAGGTTCTTTATGGCTGGCCCAGGCAGCTTGCCCCATCACCATAGGAGCGCAATCTTTGAGTAGGGTTGAAATGGACTCTAGGGGCTTATTCCCACTCCCTGGGGACAGAAGGGGACTTTGAGGAGATGCCCTCTCCATCCCTCAGGGCAGGATTCTTCATCATCTTTTTTGAATCAAGAGGCCTTTGAGCAGACTAAAGATGAGAAGCTTTGGGCCCTTCTCCCCAGAAAAGTGCCTGTGCAGCCCGTATTTATAGTCATAGGCGGGAAGTTCACAGAATAGATTAGAGGGTAGAGAGCAATTTGGGGTTTTAGGAAATTTTCTCCTCAATCACCCTTGATGTGGAAATTGAGAGACTGAGACCCCCAAACAATAATTAAGTGGTTTGCCAAAGCAACACAAGGGACAGAAGTAGGGCTATTACTTTCCATTTTCCGGCATGATACGAGTTCAAAGCACAGGCTCTTGTATGGGACTACCTGGGTTCAAATCCCACCTCCAGCCCTAACTTGTCCTGGGACCCTGAGCAAGCCCGTTAACATACTGTCCCACTTAACCTCCAAGATTGTGTTGACAGCAACAGGATAGCATTGGTGAGATTGTGTCAGGAACAGAACCTAGCCTGTAATAACTGCTAAATGAATTCTATTGCTATTGTTTTGCAACGAGGAAAGGCAGGCTCAGAGAAATGATGTTATTTTGACAAGGACACAGGAGAGGCATGATTAGAACTAGGGCCTATCTATTTCCAAAGCAAGTAAGTGTTGTTCGCTCCCAGACTAGTGTTTTTCAAACTGCAAGGCACGACCCATTAGTGGGTCAGAAAATCAGTTCAGCGGGGTCTCAACAGCACTGAAAAAAAATTAAATATCAGAATGCATCATACATAGGGTAAATAGCATTTGGTTGCACTTTTTTTTTCCCCTGGCTGCACCTCACAGCTTGTGGGATCTTAGTTCCCCAACCAGGGACTGAACCCAGGCCCTCAGCAGTGAGAGCACAGAGTCCTAACCACTGGACTGCCAGGGAGTTCCCTTTGGTGACACTTTTGTTTCACGGGATTGTAAGTATACATCTGTGTGTTCTTGGTCTTTTTTTTTTTTTTTTGATTGCACCATGGCTTGCGGGATCTTAGTTCCCCAACCAGGGATCGAACCCGGGGCCTTGGCAGTGAAAGTGCCCAGTCCTAACCGCTGGGCCACCAGGGAATTCCTACTAGGTCTTAAAATAGTTTGAAAGCCATTACCCTTTACTACTAGTGCCCCTACAAGTTCAGACACAAGCACACAGAAGCTTTCAGTGACATCTCTGTGTCTTGTAATCCATCCTGTTTCCCAGGAGGGGCAGGGATTCGAGCCAGCCCAGGAAGACTTAGAGGTAGGGGAATGGACCATGAGCTGTTCATCCTGGAGTGGAGTAAATCGAGTAGGCCAGAGTAACCTTGAGTCTAGATCAGAGCAGAAGGGCTACTTTTTGAAACAAATATTCCTCGAGAGCCCACTCTGTGCCAGGACCTTTGCTGGTTAGTGTTAGGTACACAGCAATGACTAAGATAGTGCTGGACTCTTCCCTCTTGGGGCTCACTGTGCAATGGAGGAGACAGATCTGTTAACAGGCAGTGAGAGGCTAAAAGGGTCAGGGTTGTAGCGGGGAGGCTCTGGTCAGAGTGTGATGGGGGAAGACCAGGAATTAGGAACACAGAGCAGAGTTCCAAGCTGGAGACCTACCAGCAGGGGGCTAGTTCAGCAGTAGGTTTACCTCTGGGGAAACTACCACCCCTGAGAGGACTTTGCCTGAGACACTCTTGCAGACTTAGGTGGACCCAGGGTTCTTCAGCTCCCAGCCAGGCCTTCTGTGTGGCATTACTGGAACCCAAATTCATAAAGTAGGAAGCCCCACCCAACCCATGAGAGAACAGGAACTGGAATCCGGATGTCTCACAGCTGTCTACTACACTAGCTAATACACGGGCCAGGATCTGTGCTTTTTTTTTTCTCCAGGGCGATTTTAAGGCATTTGTAGGCCCAAGTTACCCCGTGAAAAAGTTATATCCCATATTTAATTGCATATGTATGTCATAAGCAGATAGGATTAATATTTTGGAGTTATAGCATGTCTAATTGACACACACCGTTCTGTTTACATATAATAGCCCAATAGCCCAGGGACGCAGCTATGACTGTTTCCATTTTGCAGATGTGGCTACTGAGGCACAGAAAATGGTAAAGCCTTCTGCCCACAGTCACCAGTAAGGAAATGCAAAGCTGGGTTTGTGTGGCTTCAGTGCCTGTGCTCAACCATGAGAGGAAATACTGAAAAGGAAACCCTTCCTAACGCCCTCTCCAAGGCTCTTTAAGAGCCTCGGAACCTGAACTAAAGGCGAGAGCGGAGTAAAACCAGATCAAAGCGTATGTAAATAAGGCCCAGGGGCTGCCGGGAAATATCATCGCGGCTAGCCTCCAGGGAAAGCGGGCGTCAGAGTCTTACTGAGCCTGCGCAATCTTCTTTTTTTTTCCGTCCGGCGCCTGCGCGAGGCACATCCCTTGCCCACACCAGTTCAAGCTTGCTTAACGTACGCAGGCGCCCTTCTCTGAGTCGGCCACCTCCCCTTCCTTGCGCTTGCGCTCTAGCTCTCTTCGAGTTCCTTTCTCCCTCTCTCACGTCAGTTCCTGTTTGTGGCGGGAGAAGGCGGTATTTCCGCCCAGAGGGTGGGAGGGGGCGGTAAGCGGGGGCTGGGGGGAGGGGGCGGGGGGGCCGCGCCGCGCGAGCCGTTGGGCCTGGCTCCGCTAAGGCGTTGCTGCTGGTGCTGCCACCGCCACCGCCAGGAAACACAAGGAGCGGGATCAAGCGTAGCGTGGCGATGGGCAGGAGTAGAACCCCGCCAGAGAGGCTGGGCGGCCGCCGGTGACAGGTGAGTGCGCCAGCGCGTGTCCCCAAGCGCCCCCCCCCCGCGATGGTCGCGTCCGGACCCCCAGCAAAGCCGCGCTGGGCCGTACCACCGGTGCCCACTGGGCGGGGACCGTAGTCCTTGAGCCCCCCCTTCCGGGACTGAGTTGGGGAGGCTGCGCGGGGGCGGTTGGACTAGCCCCGAGGGGGCGGGGGCGGCGGGCAGTACCACTGAAGCTGCAGGGGGCGCATGTCAAAGTGTGGGGACCGAACCACTGAAGGGCTGGAGGCGGAGACCCCTGCGTGCTGGGCTGGGGGTTGAGCCAGTGGGCTGGGAGGGGAGAGCCCGCCTGGTGTGCGAAGGCTAAGCCTTTGAGGAGGCAGGCGCGTCTTACCAAGCGTAGGGGGCTGTGGAAATAGTTCCTAGAGTGTGCTTAGAGAGGTAGGGGCTTCTGGGGAGGGAGCTGTATCTAGTGTGGCCCGGGTAGCGCCCTCTGGGTTGTACCACTGAGGTCCTGGGGGGAGCCATCCTTAGAACGTAGAGCCGCGGTATATCAAAGGAGGAGGGCTGTGATGTTTATAATTTTGAGGGACGGCGTGGGGACGGGCCCGAGTGGGTGTTCAGGGGAGTTACTTTGGGAGCGCTGTAATGCCGAGCGATGAGGAGGGGGTTCTGCCTCCTGTGTTTGGTGGGTGGAGCTTGGGGGTTTACGCTGAGCTGGAGGGGGAATCACCCTTTATTGAACTTCTTATTGACTTTGAGGGGAAGTGGATGGTCAGTGGGACTGCTGTCTACCCTAGAACCTTTTCATGTTATTAAACCTTATTTTAAGGTGTGTTGGGACACTTCTGTGGCAAATTCTTCCAGTGGTTTTGGCCGGGGCATTGGGGGAGACGTCTTAGAAGCCGCTTGTTTTCTGAGCTTTCGGCTCCATATTAGGGAGGGGAGGGGTTATGGAGTTTGGATTTGAGGATCTGTGTCCCTGGATCTGCTTAAGACTTGGGAGGAAGGAGTGCTTTGAGGGACACTTCTCCCCAAGGGGAGGGTGGCTGGGACATCTTTATCCTTGGAATTCTGAGCACCCCTTTCCTCTCATTTGGAAGACACTTGGGCTCAGCAAGAGGCCTGGGCGTAATTAGGTGTTCCATGGTCTGCCCTTGAACCTTGTTTACTCTTCCTCTGTCAGAGAAGCATCCGGAGCTCTGGCCTGAGAGTGGTTGGTGCTGGGTGCCAAGGGGCCAGGCACCACCCCAGGCCCCTCCATCCTGGCCATGAGGCCAGACACATGTTTGTGTCTCCTTGGTCCAGCCGCTCATCATGTTTACGTTCCCCACCAGGCGATAACAGTTGGCTTCACCATTAGGCGGCAATGAGGCTGAGTGCTGTTTTCCCAGCTGTTCCTCTCTGCATAGGCCAAGGGGACTTGGTGGCGGTGCCCCTGCCCCACACTGACCCAGGGAGGAAGGCTGCTCCGAAGGACTTGGGGCGGCCAAATCCCCCACGAATCTGGTTTCTCACTGTGGTTGCTGGTTGGGAACTTGGCTCCTCAGGCCAGCCTGTGACCTTGGCTTGCTCGGTAACCTTTGTCCTGGGTCTGGAGTTCCCAGAGGGCTGGCCATAATCCCTGATTGACCCAGCTAATGTGGGCTGGTGATGTGGTCAAAGGGGGCAGACAGTCGCTCTGGTCCACATCATCAGCTTCCTAGCTAACTGGCTTCCATGGGTTGTGGTTGCTGGAGAGAACGGTCCCTGAGTCTCTGTGAGGCCACGGTGGCTCTGTAGAATTTCTCTGCGCCAGGGGTTTCTTTCTCTGGTCTGCCAGCTTTTAGAGGGTTTGCCTGATGGGATTAACAGCAGTAGTAAAAACAATAACCTGGAGACCAATGGCTGATATTTACTGAGTGCATTCTGTGTGCCATACACTGTTCAGAATGCTTCACGTGGATTAACTTGCAGAATGCCCACAGCCTAGAGCTTTGTGTACTGTTGTCATGATCTCCACTTTAGAAGGGGAAACTGAGGCACAGAGTGGCAAATCATTTCCAGAGCTGAATTTTATTATTATTATTTTAATTTATTTTTTATTTTAATTTTTTTAGAAACGACACTTATTTTTTATTTATTTATTTTTTAATATTTATTTTTGGCTGCGTTGGGTCTTCGTTTCTGTGTGAGGGATTTCTCCAGTTGCGGCAAGTGGGGGCCACTCTTCATCGCGGTGCGCAGGCCTCTCACTATTGCGGCCTCTCTTGTTGCGGAGCACAGGCTCCAGACGCGCAGGCTCAGTAGTTGTGGCTCACGGGCCTAGTTGCTCTGCGGTGTGTGGGATCCTCCCGGACCAGGGCTCGAACCCGTGTCCCCTGCATTGGCAGGCAGATTCTCAACCACTGTGCCACCAGGGAAACCCTACTGAATTTTATTGAACGTTCACCCTATGTCAGGCATGTGACAGGCCTTTTACACACATTACCTCATTTATCTTTTATTCTTTTATTTTTATTTATTTATTTATTTATTTATTTATGATTGCGTTGGGTCTTCATTTCTACACGTGGGCTTTCTCTAGTTGCGGCGAGCGGGGGCTACTCTTCGTTGTGGCGCGTGGGCTTCTCATTGTGGTGACTTCTCTTGTTGAGGAGCATGGGCTCTGGGTGTGCAGGCTTTGGTAGTTGTGGCACACAGGCTCAATCGTTGTGGCTCGTGGGCTCTAGAACGCAGGCTCAGTAGTTGTGGCGCATGGGATTAGTTGCTACAAGGCATGTGGGATCTTCCCCGGGCCAGGGCTCGAACCCATGTCCCCTGCATTGGCAGGCAGATTCTTAACCACTGCACCACCAGGGAAGTACCCCATGACCTCATTTAAATCTCAAAACACACCCATGGGGTAGGTATGGTTATGTCTGTTTTATAGACTCCTATGAGCTAGGTAGCAGTGTGATACCCATTTTACAGATGAGGAAACCAAGACACTTGCTATAAAGTGAAATGATTTGCCCGACATCTCAAAATTGGAAGTGGTAGAGCTGGGACATGAACCCCTGGCCTGGTTTAGCCTCACAGTGCACCGCTTGTCAACATGTAACTGGAACAGTGGTTTAGTTGAATCCAGGGGTGGATATGGTGTTTCTGTCCATTTTTCAGAATCAGAAATTGGGGCTCAGAGGAGGAATTGCTTTGTTCTACGTCTGTCAGACGCTTGGGGGCCAGACTGGGGTTTGAATGAATTCTTTGCTCCTGGTCCCAAAGCTGGAGAGGGTCTCTGTCACCTCAAAGCTCCTGCCCTAGACCCTGCCAGCTGCGGGCATTTCCTTCCCCTCACCC